GCCAAAAACATGCGATGTGGTGCCAATGCTCGGTAAACCTATCATTTGGTAATATTAGGGATTGTCTATTGGGTTTAGAAAATTGGGAGCATGCTAAATGTATGCATTCAGGCAGTTTTGAGTTCCAATGGGTCGATGCCTGCCGCGTCGCATCTGCGGTGGCAAAGTGTTGAATCAACAGTGGCACTTACATCAATCAACTGGATATCAAGACTCACTCGCGTTTTATGAAATGAATCAAAATGATATCTTTAAGAATGTACAGAGTTTGGGAAACATTTCACCACCAATTCATGATGAACGTAAGAAGGCTGCAATCAATTTGAGAATAATCCTCTTTGGCACTCTCCATCTTTGATCCAAGAGGCAATGTATAATTCTTTTGCTCCTTCACATTCCACTCAGTCAAATTGGGCCTTTGGCCGGCTCGCACTAAGGAAGAATGCAGGCAACTTCGACTGAAGACAGAAACCGAACGATGTCATGATGGCCTTTTTGAGCTGCAAGATCCAAAGGGGTTGCCCTGTAACTGTAGTTAGTCGTAAGTTGATCCTTGTTGGCCCCGGCTTCAACCAGCACCCGAACAACATCAACATGTCCTGCTTCGGCAGCAAGATGCAAAGGTGTTGCCCCATTAGCAGCATTCAGTTGATCCTTGTTGGCCCCGGCTTCAACCAGCAACTGAACAACATCAGCATAGCCTGCTTCAGCAGCAAGATGCAAAGGCGTTGCCCCATTAGCAGTTGTGGGTTGATCCTTGTTGGCCCCGGCTTCAACCAGCAACTGAACAACATCAGCATAGCCTGCTTCAGCAGCAAGATGCAAAGGCGTTGCCCCATTAGCAGTTGTGGGTTGATCCTTGTTGGCCCCGGCTTCAACCAGCAACTGAACAACATCAGCATAGCCTGCTTCAGCAGCAAGATGCAAAGGCGTTGCCCCATTAGCAGTTGTGGGTTGATCCTTGTTGGCCCCGGCTTCAACCAGCAACTGAACAACATCAGCATAGCCTGCTTCAGCAGCAAGATGCAAAGGCGTTGCCCCATTAGCAGTTGTGGGTTGATCCTTGTTGGCCCCGGCTTCAACCAGCAACTGAACAACATCAGCATAGCCTGCTTCAGCAGCAAGATGCAAAGGCGTTGCCCCATTAGCAGTTGTGGGTTGATCCTTGTTGGCCCCGGCTTCAACCAGCAACTGAACAACATCAGCATGGCCTGCTTCAGCAGCAAGATGCAAAGGCGTTGCCCCATTAGCAGTTGTGGGTTGATCCTTGTTGGCCCCCACTTCAATCAGCAACCGAACAACATCGAGATGTCCTGCTTCAGCAGCAAGATGGAGGGGCGTTGCCCCATTAGCAGCATTCAGTTGATCCTTGTTGGCCCCGGCTTCAACCAGCAACTGAACAACATCAGCATGGCCTGCTTCAGCAGCAAGATGCAAAGGCGTTGCCCCGTGCAAAGCTGTGGGTTGATCCTTGTTGGCCCCCACTTCAATCAGCAACCGAACAACATCGAGATGTCCTGCTTCAGCAGCAATATGGAGGGGCGTTGCCCCATTGGTAATGGTGAGTTTATCCTTGCTGGCTCCAGTTTCAAGCAGCAGGCGAACCGCCTCAAGATGGCCACCAAAAACTGCTGCATGCAAGGGCGTCGTCCCAACCCCGATTTCTCCAGCGTCTTTATCTGCTTCTGCCTCAAGCAAGAGCTGCATAGGCTTTGTGTTTCCATTGAGGGCAGCGTGGTACAAGGGTGTCCTGCCTTCTGCATCTGTCAGGTTGGGAGTCAAAGGGCGCTGAAGCAGCTTTTCAAGGGCAAGCGAATCATTTTCTGCACACGCAGTGACCATGCTTTGGCTGTTTTCAGCATCTGGTGGCCAAAACGCTAACACCGCCACCTGTAGTTTCAGTGGTGCAGAACCCAAAACCTCGTCATCCAGAATCTCATGACCATCTTCCGAGAAGAGTTTTTGTCTGAATCCTTGATTTGCTAAGAGAGCCACAGTATAAAGAATATCCCAAACAGTGGCGAATATGTCTTTCGAAGACAATATCTCATTTCAAGACCTCAACATCTCTGAATAGATTTATGGCTTACGAAACTAGCATGACTGAACTGACAAGTTGCAAGCAGTGCTGACCCTTGCTTTGGAATCCCACTTGGCAATGGACATATTCTGTGGGCCTCTTGTTTGCAAACCTTGCTTCGGAACTTTGGCATCTGGAAACCTTGCCTTGGAAGTTTCCTGACTTAGCTTGGGAACCTTCCACTGGAACCTTTCTTGGGAACCTTGCTTGAAAACCTTGCCTGGGAAACTTGCTTGGAATATTCCTGCGTTTTTTTGTTGCTATGGCAGAAGACCTCAATATGGAAAATCTCAAAATATTCCCAGCTTGCCAATGGTGGATTGATCAAGAAATGAAAAAAAACATCTTCAGCAGATCCAGGAAACTGGAAACGCCAAGTTCTGGCGCCAAGGTTTGCTTCAGAATCCTCGCCACCTGCGCCTCGAACTTCACCGCGTCAAGAGTTGCCAGCGGCTCACCGGATGCAAGGAAACACACTTCCATTGCCGCAGGATGCCGCAGGAGTTGAGATGTGGACTTGGCCGGTTTTGATGTTTTTGTCTTGCATGTATTTGGCATATATGGGATTTGAATTTTAAACTCTAGACAAATACACCTGTGAAAATAGACATCTGTTTACCCTAAACCTGTGTCTTTCGCATGTGTCCGTGTCCATATGCAGAGGCATGAAGCTATACCGGTACTCCGAAAAGTTGTCTGTTTGTATAGGTAGGTGATCCTCTATGTATGGGTCTTCGCAAGGACGTCTATATAAAGCGATCTGTCCAGAAACAATTTGTCAAATGTCAAGGCTTCAGTCCCACTTCTTTGATAGGCAGAGTGAGCGAAGACTGTCATCACAAACAATCCCATGGTGACTTTGCTTTGCACAGATCACTGCCCGACAACCTATGATCTGTTGATCATGTTGTTGTAAGACTTGGACAACCAGTCGCGAAGCAAATCCAAAGGACTTCGAAGATGGAGGGAGGGGGGAGGGAGAGAGACCAAGAGGGGGAGGGAGAGAAGGAGGGGAAGAGACAGATAGAGAGACAGAGATACAGAGAGACATAGAAACAGAGTGTGCAGTCAGTGTTCAGTCTTCAGTCAACTAGCCTCAAAAAGATCCTGTTTTTTGAACGCCTGCATGAGCGTCCAATGAACCAGCTCAGTGTCGACATTGAAAACTGTCGTGTTGCACAATCATTTCGCACAACAAGTGCTGTTGCCGTTGCGTACAGACATAGTAGTCAGAATAGATTGATGAACAAAATGGATTTGCTCCTGGTAACACAAGAATACGATGACTCCTGGTAACATGCTCCCAAAATACACTGCTACACGTCTAATGAACGCCCAACGCCAGTGCTGCGGCCTCCTCACAGCTGGATCGGGAACATCAGGCCTGGAAGCAGTCCAGCGTTTACCGTTCAGATCCTGATCTGGATCTCCTTCGCTTACCCCTACACAAATTCGAGGAAAAAGACGAAATCGTTTGTTGATCTGCGAAACTATGGCAACTCTCCCACAAAGAATCGCACACTCTATTTGGGCAAACCATATGTACTCTGGAAACATGAAACTGTGAGATCCACCACAATACAAACGTACTCGACTCGCAAACGGACCAAAGAACATCACCATGGCTTCTCACATGGAAAGTGATCCGCCCACATGATCGTCCGCACATGTTTTCTCTTTGGGCTGGTGTTGCCAACGCATTCCTCTCCATTTTGAGTCATTTTGAAGGCAGGTCCTTCTTAAGATGTCCTAACAATTTGCTGTTTTGCGAGCACTTGTCATGCACATATAGCCTACTTCTCTTGGGAGCATGTGTTGATCAAGATGCTTATAAGCAACCGAAAATAAACTTGCAAAACCAATCCAGGATCAAGACCCCAAACAGAAACAACGGCGTGTTCTTTTTGACTGTTTTTTCTCAATGAACGAACGGTAGTGGGGGTGTTAGTGTTTTTTGGTGCCACCCAGGCTATGGTCCCCCTTCATTTCAACATCCCCACGCCTCACTCTGAGAGAGGACGCAAACTTCTTGGCACACGGTGGCTCCTCCAAACATGGTAATGGGGGTAGCTCCAAACATCTCCAAACTATATTATAGACCGCCATCTTCGTAGTGAAACCCATGGTTGCATACATGGCATACATTGAATTGAAAACAAATTGTCTCTGTCTATCTTATCAGTGGATTCGCCTTGAAGCTGAAGTTGTCTGGTTTTTGGGCTATGTGGCATTTCACTCAGGAAAACAGAATGCACAGGAATGGTGGTTCTCTTATTATGGGCCGCTGTTCTCTGCCCAGAATGCAGGACCTTCATGCATGGCTCCAGTTTTCTTCGCCGGCAGTTCATTGCAATGGCCCGCGCTCTTCGCGGTCCATGCTGCGACTTCGAATGGCTACCTGGGCTGGAATGAGTTTTACAGGGCAGTCGAACGATTGGGTTCTCACCAGGGGTAATGTTCTGCCATTCATATTTGATGTAGCAGTCTTACTGTGGTTCTGCCTTTTCTTTCATTTCTTGCCAGCCATGCTCATGATTTGGTCCTCGTTTAAAAAAATGAAATCAAATCCTGTTTCTTCCTTCAGAGATGAGTTTGTCGCAACAACAGTGAGGCCATGAGAAAGATGTAAAATTCACAACGTGACACCTGCGCAGGTAATGTGTTTTCACACATTGGAAAGGGAATGCAAAGCTTTGGATTTCCAACGACCTATATACTGTTTGTTGGAAAAGCTAGAATTCAATTTGTCAACCGGATCAACTTTCGCGAGATTTCTTGGCTCTTCGCCCCAACATCTCCAGTAGCATGCAGCGTGGACTAGCCAGACAACAGCCAAAGCACCCCTCAACATCACCAAAGTTGTGGCATGTAACGGCATGTAGTCACCCCCACTCCAATAAGCCCAACCCCGCCTAAACTGTCACCAGTAGTCTTCGCGATGAAAGGCAGCAAACTGGCCAGGCACGGATTACCACAGCGTTGCAACCCAACAGCAATAGGGGTTCCAGGATTCCATTCCGGTTTTGAGTGTCTTGTGCATCGGTGTTGCATCGCTGGTGCACCAGTTCCGGACCCCAAAAGGTTGACTCCTGCATCACATCTGAAAAGAAAATCACGCAACGCCCACCTCTCCAAACCAATCCTCAACTTCGGTTGGCCTTGGAAGGAAGCTACCCATTACCAACCAAATGCTGCTGTTTAGACACTGTCTATCCACAGTTTCAGTCAAACCAAAGGTGGTCTCTGCATTCCTCTTCAAACACATGGCCTCTGAAGGTGGAAGTTATGCACCCCAGCAACAAACGCACAACACACATGTTTCCAGCTGCCTATGCACGTCTCCCCCAGCAACCTGAGAGTTGCGCCCCTGAGACGCGACTGTTGACTCAGCATCGCCTTTCAGTGGATGGCGTGCTAGAATCTCGTGACTTGTGGATGCCGCGGATTAATTGGACTATAGTAGGCATGCCACCAAACCACAGTAGTCAATTCCTGAGACACAGCAATATACTTTGAAGTGCGACAATTTGAATTGCGAGATTGAGTTGGTTGCACCAGGAAAAATGTAAGATGCTGTTGAGCCCTGCATATCAGGTCCAAACACATGCGCAGTAGCCAGGTCCTACCTCCATGTCTGATTTCAATGTCGAGAATACAACACCCAATAAAATACGAACATAGCATGGTTCTTTTCTCAACGCACAAAAAGAACGGACCAGTATCATAAAATGTTCGATGTAGAACAGCAAATGTTGCAAGTTGTGATTGCCTGACAACGGAACAGAACGAAAACTGCAAAAACCAGGCTTTCGTGAATGGATTGAATGGATTGTAATTGTGGTCTAGATCTCCAAAGCACCCAACCACGATATCGCCATGCCGCTTCTGGGTTTCCCAGCTGTCATTCTGGTCTTTGCCAAGGGACTGCATAGCATACAACCTCAACAAAGCAACAGTATCACGTCAACTGCTCTTGGCAATGCCGCATTCCAACAAAAACCCATGCATTGCTGTGAAACCCAAAGAATGCCAAGTAGAACGGGATGTCACACATGTGACTGTTCAAAGTGCTCATGCAACTGGACAGCACTAGCTGACACGGCTTCGATCTATATAGGTTTGTCCAACGGGTGTGAAAGAAATGACCACTTCCACCTCTGTGGAAACCTCTGTGCCCCACGGCGGAATGTCTGAATTGTTTCAGTCAGAGGTCTAAATACGGTAGGTGTTCAGTTGAAGGCCTTTTTATACTTTGGAAGTTTAGCAAGGTCTGTTAGTTTGCCCACTCGGAACCTGAACCGTTGCTGCCAAGCTTCACATCACGACACTCGCGTTCACCCTCGGCAAAACCAAGTGGGTATTGGGGCCTGTCTGGAGTACGTTTACATGTATGATAACCAATGAATAGAAAAAGGAATGTGCATATTTATAAGATTTTATAAGTATATGTGTATGTGATGCACCCTTGTTTGATTCATGGATCACATGCGTCTGAAAGTTATATGTCTAGAATGTTTTTCGCATTATTTATTAATATGTATTTATTGTTTCTTTATCCATTTAGTTATCTATTTCTCTATTTTTTAGTATTTACTGTATCTCTACTTTTTTTTGTTTGGTTATATATATTCTTTTAAAATCTATCAATGTGTTTGTTTATTTATCTATTCACTTACAGTATATACATGTGTATTGCTGATTTTCCGCATCTACACGTGCAGGCACTTGATTGTTCTTCCTCACATCCAATATCTACAGAGTTATGTCTCGCAAGTTGTCATCTGTACCAACATGGTCAGGCTTGGTTAAGGCCCATAAATTGTGGGACTCACCCCTTGGGGAAAAAACTCTGTCGCTTGCATTGCTACAAAATCTACATGCGATGGAACACCGAATGCAAGGATTTGGTGAACTCTAAAAACATCAAATGCATTCCCTGCCTCTGCAGGGGCTGCCACTTCAACTGGATCATCCACCGTGATGTCCTCCGCTACTGCTGGAACAGCCTGGCAGCTTGTTTCAACGCCAACAGGGCACATCAAGTGCAATGACCTTGGCAGTTGCACACTTCTATCACTCATACCAGGACCAAGCTGGTTGTACAGTAGCAGTCTCGTCCTGATGGACTTAGTAGTAACGTCCTTTGCCGATTCAAAGATTGCAGTCACAATTGACAAATGGCCAGTCCATTCCATTGCAAAGTTACAAGTAAAGCTCCCCCTCTCATTCGGTATCCAGAGTCCCTCAAGTCCTCAAGAGTCAAAAATTGCCAAACACTTCGCAGTTTTCACTCCCACAATCCCAAGTATGTATGGACACCAGTCTATCCAAAGTTTTCCACAGGCCTTTGGAGACTTCACAGGCTCCTCGGCCACATCGTCTTCAGTGGTGCTTTCCGGAACCTGGTAGCGGAAACGATCTGGAGATGTGATCCCGGCTCCACAAGTGGTGCAACACCCGTTGTGAGAACACACAAGGCAAGCCAAACGGACAACATGATGGTGGGATCGGACATGATAAACAATGAAGAACTCGTTTGTCTAGCCAGAAAAAAGGGGGCAGTAAATCCAAATACATCGTGGAGATCCGTAAGGTGAAGGGACGCAGAATGACGCATGTTCGAGGGACAATTCGGGGCACATTGGCTCACTTCACAATGTTCCTTGCCTCTGCAGGAGCAGTCAGTTCCGCAGACCGGTCATCCAGAGTGATGTCTTCCGCTAGTGCGGGAGCCGCCTCGCACTCAGTTTCATTGAACACAAGGCACGTGAAACATAAAAGCCTCAAGACAACCACATTCCAACATTCCAACATTCCCAAACGCATCCAAATTCAGGAAGCCACAACAAATCCTGGAGGCTGTCATGATTAATCTTTTTCGACCAAGGCTAAAACAAGGGCATGGTGTCCCGATTTCCTGTTACAATTGTTACAATGAAATTCCTTCAATCTTCAGATAGGGGAAAAAAACTATTTGTGAGCAAAGCCATAACAAAGCCTTAAGAGTCGGGAAAAAAAAGTATGCATGCAATAACATGGTGGGATCCACGAACACCTAAATGCAATGCGACTCCCCTCACAGGACTCCCTGCCTCTGCGGCTGCCTCTGCAGGGGCTGCCACTTCAAATGGATCCACCGTGATGTCCTCCGCTACTGCTGGAACAGCCTGGCAGCTTGTTTCAACGCCAACAGGGCACATCAAGTGCAATGACCTTGGCAGTTGCACACTTCTATCACTCATACCAGAACCAAGCTGGTTGTACAGTAGCAGTCTCGTCCTGATGGACTTAGTAGTAGCGTCCTTTGCCGATTCAAAGATTGCAGTCACAATTGACAAATGGCCAGTCCATTCCATTGCAAAGTTACAAGTAAAGCTCCCCCTCTCATTCGGTATCCAGAGTCCCTCAAATCCTCAAGAGTCAAAAATTGCCAAACACTTCGCAGTTTTCACTCCCACAATCCCAAGTATGTATGGACACCAGTCTATCCAAAGTTTTCCACAGGCCTTTGGAGACTTCACAGGCTCCTCGGCCACATCGTCTTCAGTGGTGCGTTCCGGAACCTGGCAGCGGAAACGATCTGGAGATGTGATCCCGGCTCCACAAGTGGCGCAACACCCGTTGTGAGAACACACAAGGCAAGCCAAACTGAGAACATGATGGTGGGATCGGACATGATAAACAATGAAGAACTCGTTTGTCTAGCCAGAAAAAAGGGGGCAGTAAATCCGAATACATCCTGGAGATCCGTAAGGTGAAGGGGCGCAGAATGACGCATATTCGAGGGACAATTCGGGGAACATTGGCACACTTCACAATGTTCCTTGCCTCTGCAGGAGCAGTCAGTTCCGCAGACCGGTCATCCAGAGTGATGTCTTCCGCTAGTGCGGGAGCCGCCTCGCATCCAAATGCAGGAAGCCACAACAAATCCTGGAGGCTGTCATGATTAAGCTTTTTCGACCAAGGCTAAAACAAGGGCATGGTGTCCCGATTTCCTGTTACAATGAAATTCCTTCAATCTTTAGATAGGGGAAAAAAACTATTTGTGAGCAAAGCCATAACAAAGCCTTAAGAGTCGGGAAAAAATAAAGTATGCATGCAATAACATGGTGGAATCCACGAACACCTAAATGCAATGCGACTCCCCTCACAGGACTCCCTGCCTCTGCGGCTGCCTCTGCAGGGGCTGCCACTTCAAATGGATCCACCGTGATGTCCTCCGCTACCGCTGGAAAAGCCTGGCAGCTTGTTTCAACGCCAACAGGGCACATCAAGTGCAATGACCTTGGCAGTTGCACACTTCTATCACTCATACCAGGACCAAGCTGGTTGTACAGTAGCAGTCTCGTCCTGATGGACTTAGTAGTAACGTCCTTTGCCGATTCAAAGATTGCAGTCACAATTGACAAATGGCCAGTCCATTCCATTGCAAAGTTACAAGTAAAGCTCCCCCTCTCATTCGGTATCCAGAGTCCCTCAAATCCTCAAGAGTCAGAAATTGCCAAACACTTCGCAGTTTTCACTCCCACAATCCCAAGTATGTATGGACACCAGTCTATCCAAAGTTTTCCACAGGCCTTTGGAGACTTCACAGGCTCCTCGGCCACATCGTCTTCAGTGGTGCGTTCCGGAACCTGGCAGCGGAAACGATCTGGAGATGTGATCCCGGCTCCACAAGTGGCGCAACACCCGTTGTGAGAACACACAAGGCAAGCCAAACTGAGAACATGATGGTGGGATCGGACATGATAAACAATGAAGAACTCGTTTGTCTAGCCAGAAAAAAGGGGGCAGTAAATCCGAATACATCCTGGAGATCCGTAAGGTGAAGGGGCGCAGAATGACGCACATTCGAGGGACAATTCGGGGGCACATTGGCTCACTTCACAATGTTCCTTGCCTCTGCAGGAGCAGTCAGTTCCGCAGACCGGTCATCCAGAGTGATGTCTTCCGCTAGTAGGGGAGCCGCCTCGCACTCAGTTTCATTGAACACAAGGCACGTGAAACATAAAAGCCTCAAGACGACCACATTCCAACATTCCAACATTCCCAAACGCATCCAAATGCAGGAAGCCACAAGAAATCCTGGAGGCTGTCATGATTAAGCTTTTTCGACCAAGGCTAAAACAAGGGCATGGTGTCCCGATTTCCTGTTACAATGAAATTCCTTCAATCTTCAGATAGGGGAAAAAAACTATTTGTGAGCAAAGCCATAACAAAGCCTTAAGAGTCGGGAAAAAATAAAGTATGCATGCAATAACATGGTGGAATCCACGAACACCTAAATGCAATGCGACTCCCCTCACAGGACTCCCTGCCTCTGCGGCTGCCTCTGCAGGGGCTGCCACTTCAACTGGATCCACCGTGATGTCCTCCGCTACCGCTGGAAAAGCCTGGCAGCTTGTTTCAACGCCAACAGGGCACATCAAGTGCAATGACCTTGGCAGTTGCACACTTCTATCACTCATACCAGGACCAAGCTGGTTGTACAGTAGCAGTCTCGTCCTGATGGACTTAGTAGTAACGTCCTTTGCCGATTCAAAGATTGCAGTCATCCTTGGCAGCTGTCCGTTAGGTTATCACAACTAGCGTCAGAGTCAGTCACCCGAGTCAGCCGGTGGGAGTCGAGAACCTCAAAGCGTCTGACTCCGAAGTAGGGGGCTGACTGACTTCATCTAGTCCCAACAAGGAAAGCTCCCCCTATCGTTCAGTATCCTTATATAACCCTTCAAGATCCAGTGACCCAGGACTGGTCAATCAGTTCGTCAAATTGGTACGCCCTGTCTTGCGACATATGAGTAAAAGGGGGGCGCAACTGGGAAGCCGCTGCCTTTCTGCTGATTGGGTGACAAACTCTACACCACAAAAAACCTTACCTCCAGACTCCAACTTCTCGTTCCATGTTTGCACCATACCCTAAATGAGCCTCAAAAGGTTCTTCCAAAATCAGGGATTTCCCCTGTATGTCCCCAAAAGCTTATGTGATCCCCTGTGGAGAGTTTGTGCTGACTATGATTGCGGTTCTAGCACCGGGTTTGTCCGGTGTATTTAATACTTCCATATTTTCTATAATGCAATAAATGATGTGTTTTTCTTTTTTTTTTATGTATTTCTATATCCGTGGATGAATGAAATGTGTCTGGTGAAGATTCTTTTTCTGTGCCAACTACTCTCTGGTCACCATTCATCTTGCCTGGGACTAAGGGCCGTTGGGAGACTCGTGCCGCGATTTCATTTGGTAGTTGTTGAACCCCTTACCATAATCATAGCCGTCTTAGTCATAAGTCATACGGGGGCACTGGCTCCAGTCTACAGCCTAAACATGCCTAAACCATCATTCTTTGGTGGCCGGCTTCCATCACTTCCAAGCCCGAAGTTTATTCGAGCCTTTTGTGACCACCAGGGAGCGGTTGAATGCTTGCCACCCTGGCCATATGAAGGCGCGAAAAGAAAAAATAACGAGACAGGCAAGCTTGCCATCTCACAAATTACCATAGTCCCTACCGGGGTTTATGTAAATTTGGAGGATGCTAGTTTCTCAAAACAAGTGAGTTTTGCAATGTGGCTCAACTTGAGGCTGAGGCTTGGACTTTCGGTGTGCACCAGATTTTGGTCACGCTTGGGCACCCCGGATTGCCAGAACGGGTGAAGTTCCTCTTTCGAGCACAGAACGCACTGATACAACGGAGGAAGATGGAGGAAGTGGTAAGCAACCGGCCTCTGCTTGTCAGCGCTGAGGCGACTGAAGCGCATTTCCGAAATGAATGGCTCAGTTGGCAATTCAGTTCACTGGCAACAATGGAATGCGAGACCGTCGCTGGCTAGAATTGAGCCAAAGATAGCCAAAGGATGTTGGGACGCAGCTCTGTCCAAACCCCCAAATTTCCATCCAAAATCCACTGATTCACTGATTCATCTTCATTATCAAAGCATATCAAAACCAAGGCCGAAAAGGTCCTGGAAAGTTTCCCAGGTATCGCTAGAAGACCTGGCAAACGGCTGCTATGCCATCTATGCTTCTCCAAGGTCTTGATTGCTACAAGATCAAGAACATACTACAAGAAGATAGTCTTTCATTCATGGAAGTAACCAGGGTATTGCAAGTTTGACTGATTTTTTGATGTCAAAAGTGTCTTGAATACGAACATCTTTCACGCCGAAGACATTATTTGATGGACGCAGCAAGCGGTCCCTTCTTCTGGAGCAAGTCACTTAGTTTTTCTTACTTATTCTTGGTTGTGCTGCTTCACGACTGAATCAAAGGGCAGCAATCGAATTCGAATTTCCCTTAGCATTTGAATTCAAAACAGTGTTTCCATCACTTCTGAACAATAAGTTACGTTTATTTGACCCTCCTCTTTCAGGCGCCTTGTTCACAGTCTGATGTCCAGGCTCACAAGCAAACCTGCAGCAGACATGATGAGAACAAGGATGGAACCGAGGATGATAAACGGGGATGAAAAGCAATTGGTCTTATGACTAATCAAATTTTAGCAACGAAGAGTTGCAGCAATGAAACATCTACGGGCCCCCGGGGAGACATGGATTCCTATCTGGGTTCCATGCCGCAGGTACCCATTTGTGCAAGTTGTGTGGCAACTGAACACTGGCGGGTCTTCACGGAATGTTGTCCGTTTTCTGAAAAGGAAAAAAGTTTCTACTCCCTACTTTCTCTGCCAATCATGGCATTTGCAATAAAGGTTGTTCTGCTGTGCCAAAACTGTTTGGGAGAATGTTGAATATCTCAATTTTCCCGTAGTTCCACAGGTATCTGAGTCCCATTTTTCCAGCTCGGACAGGAAGCAAGCGATTTCCGTGTGGCAACTTTGCTATGCTACATCCAGAGCAGTTGTGCTGTTGATCCTGGTTATGGTCCTGTCAGCACCAGACTCAATCAGCAGGCAGACCACCTCTAAATGGCCTTGATAAGCTGCCACATAGAACGGTGTCGCACCCCAATCCATGGTCTGATCCTTGTGGGCACCCGCTTCAAGCAGCAAGCGGGCAATGCCCACGTGACCCGCTTGGGCACTATGCAAAAGTGTTGACCCACTCTCGCGTTTTTTGGTCCCTTGGGTCCATTGGTCCCTGGTCCTGTGGCCCTTTGGGTTGTTGCGAACCTTGCCCAAATCTTTTTCAGCCCCAGCTGCGATTAGCAAGCGCACACCCTCTAGATGGCCTCCTTCGGCCGTCCTGGGCTGATTCATGTTTGCATCGACTTCAAGCAGTAAGCGGATAGTGTCAATATGTGTCCTTTCAGATGCAATGAACAACGGCGTTGCGCCAGTGTCCCTTGCCTGATCTTTGTCAGCGCCATAGTCAAGCAAACAGCGCACCACGTCGAGATGGCCCCGCTGACATGCGACGAAGAGTGGCGATTCCCCGCAGTCCGTGGCCTTCTTTTCAGCTCCTGACTCAAGCAGAGTGCGGACTATGACTGGCCGGTTTTGTGCAGCGACGTGAAATGGCGTTGCTCCAACACTCAAAAACCAGATCTGTCCGAGCTCCGGCTTCCAGCAGACAGCAAAGCACATCATGATGACCACTCTGAGCTGCGTATAACGGGCTTGCTGCCTGTGGGAACATCAACTCCGGGGCAACCTCGGCATGGAATAATGGTGACTTGCCCTGTTCATCCAATTTGGATTCACAGGGTGAAGCAACTTTTCAAGTGCAAGTGAATCTTTGATTGACACCAAGAGCAAGCTTTGGCTTTGTTCAGCATCTTGTGGAAAAAAATCCAACACCACCAGACCACCAGCTGTACTTTCGGTGGTGCGGAAGCCAAAACCTCATCATCCAGGATCTCAGAACCATCTGCATGCGGAGCTGAGCTGCAAAGGATTGCTTCAGAAGCTTTGCTGTACCCTGAAACTCATCTGCATCCAGCGACAGTGTCTCACCGGATGCAAGGAAACACACCTCCATTGCTTCAGCCATGCTGCCAACAGTTTATGTCGTCTACCCAACACAGATTTAGACTCAGATCATTCTGCAACAGTTTTGCCATGTCATAAGAAAGGTATCTTGTGACCTGTGCTGACCATCAGAGCTGCTTGGCGTTTTGAGTTCACCATCAAACCAGACTCTCCTGCCGCAGAGGATCAAGAATCTGCGGATGCGAGCCATGATGGCACCAATTCGCCGGTGTGATCACCAATCATGGGTCGACCCAAGCTACAAAAAATGGTTTGTCCCATGTGTTGCACCCCATTTTGGTCCAGTTTGAGCAGGATAGAGACACCAGGCGGTTGAGGTACGGTATGTTAGTTTTGCATCGGCTCACAACTCCATCAAACTGCCGCAAAACCATGCTGCAAAGTAGACAGGTCAAATAAAACATGCTTCCACTTTCACCTACAAATTTTCAGCATCAATGTCACCTACCCATGCACGAAGTTTTTTGGAGCGTGTCACCCACTGGCATTTGGAATGGCTTTGGAAACCAGTTGCCACCGCACCCATTGACACCAAGTCTACTTTCCAATCAGGAAGCTTAGAAATGAAAATCTATAATGGGATCGTCCAAGGTTCATCTTTTTGATCCAACTAGAGGTGGGAATACACCTCAAAAACCATCAAAAAACATTTAAAAAAACCTATAGTGTTCACCCTGAGCCGACCCCTCTCAGGCTCAAGCTGTTTACAGCTCAAACGACTGACCAACGAAGCTCAACCCCTGCCACGAGATCAAACATTTCCGCTATGGTACAGGGCTTCCATGGGCTTCCGGGCTGTTTGATCGCACCACATGTCATGCCCAATCCATGCCTCCACATCCTCTCTTAGTTCTGGACTCATGCGAAATTGGGTCGTGGCATGTCGCCTATGGTGGAGAAATCATACATGACTGGAACCCGAATAAAACCCCTATGTTGGATGGTTGACCTCCCCATTGAATCCATTTTCTGGGGTCAAAACCTCCCAAAATTACGGCCGTTTTAGAATTAACTTTATGGCACAAACCCAACGCTCCACCAACTTAAACACTGCTTCGAGCGACAATGCCATCTCGACGATGACCAAGTGTCCTGCGATGTGGAACATCAGTAAACGTCAGAATGGAGGATATGTACAAATCCCATAAATGCACAGAACTGGTCATTTCTGTCAAGCATATGTGCCACAACAAAATAATGAGAACGCTTGGTTTTCCCGTCTTCGTTGGCCAGCTGGGTCAATGATCCTACCAAAAAACAATTGCACTGACCAGCTGGGCCAGCTCAGCAAAGAACGACTCCATCTATAGCAGATCTATACTCTCACATTTACAACTACTCTGGTGTCACTCCCATCGGACACAAAATTCACTACAGCATACTACAGGATTTCTGAAGTGCTTGACTTCACAGGTCATCCAACGACTTGGTCATTTGTTTCGACCTGGTCGATTCCACCTGGTCCCACCTAGGTTTCAGCAAGCTTCAGCATCACAGCACTCAGCACGGCACTGCAAACGCTCATGGAGAAGGCATTGCCAGTAAGATCATGGCATAGGCGACGATGTTTGGTCAGGAATTTGCCCCTCGCCGCCTTGAAATCCTTGGTGAAGATGCCTTGCAGTGCCAACACCTCTTCAGCACTCAGGAAGCGCTGCTGGTTTGCCCAGTACATCGTGCCTGCCGGTCGTGATAATGCCAATTTGCAAATGACAAAGAGATTGAGGATCCCTCTTTTGGTGATGAAAATGATGAAAACAAAACCAAAAATAGGGGAAAGAAATAACATCCAAACCTACGCAAATCAAGCATGCTAAAATTGTTCAAATCTAGAATCAACAACTGAAAAAAAAAAGAAACACAGCTCCCAGCTACTATTGGCCACCAAACAAGGCGTGCGTTGCAGCTGCACTGGGGACCTCTGTTCGCTCTTGGCCACATCCACAATGACCTGGTCCCGAGGCCTGCGGTGCGGCACCTTCTTCAAGCCGGCCTTCAACACCTTCCTCTGACGGGGGTTCAAGGTTCGGTTCTCAGGCATTCCAGCTGTGCCAACCTGGGCATGGCAAACATGGAACCAAAGCAAGCAATAACTGCAATAACTATAACTGGTTGGTGGTTGACCTACCCCTCTGAAAAATATGAAAGTCCGTTGGGATGATTATTCCCACTATATGGAAAAATAAAAATGTTCCAAACCACCAGCCAGATAATAACTATGACTATAATGATCATGTTTTGGTTGGTTTGGTTGCATGATTTCCGACAGATCACAATGGACGTAGCCTGAAACCCTGGCAGAATCACTCTGGCTCTGACCCATGGAAAAAGGGAAAATCACCACCCTGTGCACCAACATCGTGTACTGTGGAAAGAAATGAACAGTCATGGCAGTCTACAGACGCACAAATGGCACATGTTGAATGTTTAAGGCTTACGCGTTTAACCCTCCAAGTTGGGTCAGAAATAGTTGTTGTCACATCATGTTCTTCCTCAGTTGTTTGATGTTTTTGGGGTCCAAAATATTTGACCCATGTCCAGTTCGAAATCACCCAGCGTTGTCTTCTGAAATTTCTCACTTCAATTTCACCCATCGGTCCCAGGGTTCATGGAATTTCAGCATCCCCACCTTGAAGTGGGCGAAATATTTCTTCAAAGCCATGGTCTTGGGCGCCTTCATCTGCTGAACCATCTCGAAGACCTCCTCGACATCTTCCGCGCTGAAGCGATCACGGCGAAGTCCCACCATCCAGCAGCGGTTGCGACTCTGGGGGATCATGAAATCGCTGGTGTTCCTTGGGGGATTTGGAACACAAAAAAAACAAATGTACGGTGAGGCCAAATGTGTGGATGTGGATGTCTTTATGTACATAATATAATATATGTACTGTATATGTATATATATATATACATGTACATGTATATGTGCATGGAGAGATATAGACGTAGATATAGATATAGGCATGATGGATATTTTCAGACTTCCCGCTTTAGGTCTTTAGGTTCCCATTGTTTAAAAACAAAAAAAAACCATACGGCACTCAGCCAGGATTCAGGATACGGTACTCAAAGTGGTATCCGGCCTTCCTCATGGCCTCAACCACCTGCAGGATCACTGGTTCCTCGCCATCGATGCGGTTGGTGATGCCCTGAAGCCGGAAAGCCGGGGCCGGGGCCACAGTTCTGCACAAATCAGCCATTCTATTCAATGCGTGCTGGTTTTTGGCAGTTATTCTAATTGTAACAAAAATATAATTTTGATATTGGACAAAATTTGGACATGTGGATTTCTTTGTTCAACTGTCAAAACTGCTATCAGTCTATGCCCGTCTTTTGGACCAAAACCAGTGGCGGAATGATTTCCAATACAGTGGAAGCATGTTGAAACCCTGCCTTGACATTTTCAGCAATGACCTGAGCTGAGCAGGTCATAGGAGGGGCAGAACCGGTACATTCCAAATCTCTGTTTTTTTTGTGAATTTTGATCCGTTTCAGAAGCCTCAGTAAAACGTTTGACCAATACATAAAATTGACAGGCTATACCTTGGGGGACCCCATGGAGCAAGTTTGGGGAGTTCATTTGATGAAGCCAGATGACCACGGGCGGAGCATGTTTTTTGATGTAATCCATCATGCCACTGAAGGTCTCTCCCGTCTCGCCCCGGCCCTCCTGAAGGGTTGGGACCCCCCAAGCAAGCAAATCATTTCATGGTATTCAAAGCGACCAAATCTTTGGCATTGACTTTCACCATTCACCCTGGTCCTGAATGCAATTCTTGTAGGTCTTGCGTTCATTGTTCTCAGAGGAGACGGACTTGCACACGAAACCGGTGATGAAAATGTCGGCGGATGGCACCCGTTCCTTCCTTCCCGTGACAACGTTCAGGACCTCATCACGCTTCAAGGACTTGATGTCGCAGAAGAGCCGCTGCGTTTCGGGGAAATTCTCAAGGATCCATGTCCTTGGAGCTGCTTGGGCCATGAAAAATGATATGGATATATACCGTGTACATATAGAATTATATAGATAAATACGTGTATATACATATACATTTACATATACATATACATATACATGTACATGTACATGTACGTGTACATGTACATGTATATGTATACATATGCACATATGTACATATGTACATATGTATATATGTACACATATGTACACATATGTAATATTATATATAATATATAATATATAATATATAATATATAATATATAATATATAATATATAATATATAATATATAATATATAATATATAATATATAATATATAATATATAATATATAATATTACATTATATATACATATATATATATATATACATATATATACATATATATATATATACATACATACATATATATTGTATACGTATGTGTATATATATATACATACATACATACATACATATATATATATATATATTGTATACATATATACATAGATTTCCCTATAGGTTCTCCAAAGGATGGATTTACCATTGGGAAAAATGAAGAAAGTCACCTTGAGCAAAGTCCGGTGTCCTCTTCAACTCATCGAACTCGCAGCTGAATGAGGTCTCCAGTCCCATGTGCTTTGCCAAGACGATAGGACTGTCAGTCCCACTGCAAGCGGTGGCAAGAGACAGCCCAACCGCAGCCTGTGAGTTGTGGAATTTGGGACAAAAATGCAGAGAACACATTCCCTGGTTAGGCCATTTGGGGCTGGTTTCAAGCCATAAACAAGACAAATCCGCGAACCCGAATGCCCCCCCCTCGTTCCCATCCGCCCTCCCCCTTCCTCCCTCCTCTCTCTTCCGCCCACCCAGACCCCCTCGGGGAGCGTTCCCCAGCGGCCCTGCCATAGGGCCCTCGCGCTGTCCAGGCCGAAACAGCGAGTGAACACACCCGGCCCCCAGACCCCCACAGTTAAACGGGAACCCTTTGCTCCGCATTCGGGAAAAAAAACATATTCCACATGGATTTGCCCAATTCTGGTAAGTTCCAAGTGGCCCAACCCTCCAAAACAAATCATCTGAGCCAGGCAGCCTCCCGGATCTTGTTTCGCAAGCTTCGCACACTTGTCCCTGTTTCTACTGCGATGGCTTCAAGCTGTTTCTCAAGGAAATAGTTGGCCATGCTGTGCAGAGAAACCTCCCTGGGACACTGTGGGGGGCAAGCGTTTTTTGGAGCACTTCAAGACTAAAACGTCTGCGGAAAAAAATTGGGAGACGAGCAGGCTTGCTTCGGATGTTTCCCAACGGATAATTTTTCTTCGAGTTGTCCGGAAATTAGGTATTCTCAAACCCCAAATCTGCGGAAAAAAATTGCCAAAGATCATTCTGAGATGATTTCATGACTGCAATCTGGAATATCCCTTGAAGATTGTGAGGTCACAAACAGCAATGACATTCGGAACTTTGGGCTGCCGGTCCTCTGGTCTGGGGGGAAAATCAGAGTTGCAGCCTGTTCAGCAGAACAACACACTGCCTTTGAATCCGGCCAAACACATTGGAACTACTCGCATTGTACTTAAATTTTCTTGAATAAACATTAGCTCTGTAAAAGATCCAGTTTCTGTTTGCTCGATGATCTGACTAAAGGCAACAAGGTGTCACAAACCGAACTGTTTACCAACAGCATGAAGACCTTTGTCATGCTGGATTTGTTCTAATATTGTCTGTTCATTTACACTTCTTTATTCCACCCAGGCCAGGACCCTCTGAGAGGTGCAACCTTTCACTGTTTCTTGTGTTTCCAAGGGCCAACTATGCTGACTGGTGTCAATCCCTGACAAAAAAACGCACAGATTGCTGCAATGCTATTCGGTTAATTAGTATGGATCAAAACCTCAGTATTCTGACAAACATCAAAATATATAATTGATACTCATGGATGTTTTTCAGAATACTTGATTATCATGCTTAATGGATCAAAAACATCAAACATTGGTATCATGTTTAATGGATGTTTTTCGCTCATGATACCGGTCTTCAGCCATCCCTATCTGCAGATCTCCAGCAGCTCTGGTACAATGTGCTTTGTACGGACTCTCCCGAAAGATCACCTGGTCACCTACATTGTTGGCGCAACCACTAGTCACCCACCATTTCAAGTGATGTCTTGCCTGCGAAAGGCTGGGAAATATCCCCAAAAAACCTTGGTTCAATACGGACACACGGCGCGTTTCTCAGGATCTGGCGCATGTCAGTCAGCCTGGCGCTTCGACGTGTGGATCACCGGTAATACTTTAAGGAAAATCTACAAACAAAAATGAAATTGACCAACCAAACCTGGAGTAGACCCTGTGAATTTAAACTCATTATATATAGATTATAGATGTTCAGTCAAACCTTTTGTCAATTTTTCCCTGGGAACAATTCTCGAATTGAAGAGTTCGGTTCTGCCTGCGCTGGAGCGCAGGCTCTGCCTGCGCTGGAGCGAGGCAAGCAATCACAGGTGTTGAGCACGTCGTTGCGCATGGCAACTACCAAGTGGGGGTCCCCGAAAGAAAATCAAAAAAATCTTGAGCAAAAGAAAAGTACGAAAAAAGTTTGGACGACCACCCCAATCAATTCCGAGTTTGCAATCGACACCTCCAACCCGAGCATGGTCCAGCACGGCTAGTTGAGTTTTTGCGAGTGGGAATGCCCATGACCAGACTGCGAGGCAGCACTGCGTGCATTGTTTAACAAATATACATATATATGTTGCAGAGCAGTGCGTTTGGCCCATGATCAAGTCTGCTCTGAATTTTTCATCAAAGCTGGAAAAGTAAACCATGCCTTCTGCTAGGATTTAGGGACACCAATAAAATGGACCAGATTAATTGTGGTGCTGTCCAGGTACTTTAGCAGATCCTGCTCGACGGTACAAACCCAACATTCCGATTCCAATAGTGGTTTACTGTAAATGGGGAAACCGTTATTTTGATGGGGGACAACATGATGTCCTACAAAAGACTAATCCAACCACTGCCCGACGGATTCATTTTGAACACTCTGTTGCTGCTTTGTCGATGTCATGTGCAGAACACAAGCCTGCTTTGGCGCCCCATCAAGCATCCACAATCCCATTGGGTACAGACCTCACATTTGACCCTACCGCAGCCTCACATTCGACCCTACTCCACAAGAACCGCACGCACCCTCACATTCGACCCTACCCCACCAAAAATACGCAACCTTTCCAGGAAAAAATAACATTGCCCGGTTCACATTCGACCCTACCCCACTTTTCCCGGTTCACATTCGACCCTACCTCAAACCAGCCATCCGTGAACCAACCCCCTTTAAACAATTACATTCATTGGCATCAAATCAACCAGCCCCCCTTGAACAATTATATTCATTGGTATCAAATCAACCAGCCCCCTTGAACAATTACGTTCATTGGTATCAAATCAACCAGCCCCCCTTGAACAATTACATTCATTGGTATCAAATCAACCAGGCCCCCTTGAACAATTACATTCATTGGTCTCAAATCAACCAGCCCCCCTTGAACAATTACATTCATTGGTATCAAATCAACCAGCCCCCCTTGAACACGTACATTCATTGGTATCAAATCAACCAGCCACCCTTTGAACAATTACATTCATTGGTATCAAATCAACCAGCCCCCCTTGCACAATTATATTCATTGCTATCAAATCAACCAGCCCCCCTTGAACAATGACATTCATTGTTGGTATCAAAAAAATCAAACCAAGCCCCGCTTGAACAAGTAAACATTATTGGTATCAAATCAACCAGCCCCCTTGAACATTACGTTCATTGGTACAAAACACCAGCCCCCCCTTGAACAGTGCAATTCATTGGTATCAAATCAACCAGCACCCCTTGAACAAGTACATTCATTGGTATCAAATCAACCAGCCCCCCTTGAACAATTACATTCATTGGTATCAAATCAACCAGCCCCCCTTGAACAATTACATTCATTGGTATCAAATCAACCAGCCCCCCTTGAACAATTACATTCATTGATATCAAATCAACCAGCCCCCCTTGAACAAGTACATTCATTTGTATCAAATCAACAAGCACCCCCTTTGAACAATTACATTCATTGGTATCAGATCAACCAGCCCCCCTTGAACAAGTACATTCATTGGTATCAAATCAACCAGCCCCCCTTGAACAAGTACATGCATTGGTATCAAATCAACCAGCCCCCCTTGAACAATTACATTCATTGGTATCAAATCAACCAGCCCCCTTGAACAAGTACATTCATTGGTATCAAATCAACCAGCCCCCCTTGAACAATTACATTCATTGGTATCAAATCAACCAGCCCCCCTTTGAACAGTTACATTCATTGGTATCAAATCAACCAGCCCCCCTTGAACAATTACGTTCAGTGGTATCAAATCAACCAGCCCCCCTTGAACAAGTACATTCATTGGTATCAAATCAACCAGCCCCCCTTGAACAATTACGTTCATTGGTATCAAATCAACCAGCCCCCCTTGAACAATTACATTCATTGATATCAAATCAACCAGCCCCCCTTGAACAAGAATCAGCCCCCCTTAACACAATTAATATCATTGGTAATCAAATCAACAACCCCCTTTGACAAGTACATTCATTGGTATCAAATCAACCAGCCCCGCTTTGAACAATTACATTCATTGGTATCAAATCAACCAGCCGCCCTTGAACAAGTACATTCATTGGTATCAAATCAACCAGCCCCCCTTGAACAAGTACATTCGTTCGTATCAAATCAACCAGCCCCCATTGAACAATTACATTCATTGGTATCAAATCAACCAACCCCCCCTTGAACAAGTACATTCATTGGTATCAAATCAACCAGCCCCCCTTGAACAAGTACATTCATTGGTATCAAATCAACCAGCCCCCCTTGAACAATTACATTGATTGGTATCAAATCAACCAGCCCCCCTTGGACAAGTACATTCATTGGTATCAAATCAACCAGACCCCCTTTGAACAAGTACATTCACTGGTATCAAATCAACCAGCCCCCCTTCAACAAGTACATTCATTGGTATCAAATCAACCAGCCCCCCTTTGAACAATTGCATTCATTGGTATCAAATCAGCCAGCCCCCCTTTGAACAATTGCATTCATTGGTATCAAATCAAGCAGACCCCCCTTGAACAAGTACATTCATTGGTATCAAATCAACCAGCCCCCCTTGAACAATTACGTTCATTGGTATCAAATCAACCAGCTCCCCTTGAACAATTACATTCATTGGTATCAAATCAACCAGCCCCCCTTTGAACAAGTACATTCATTGGTATCAAATCAACCAGCCCCCCTTGAACAATTACATTCATTGGTATCAAATCAACCAGCCCCCCTTGAACAATTACATTCTTTGGTATCAAATCAACCAGCCCCCCTTGAACAATTATATACATTCATTGGTATGAAATCAACCAGCCCCCCTTGAACAATTACATTCATTGCTATCAAATCAACCAGCCCCCCTTTGAACAATTACATGCAACAATTACATTCATTGGTATCAAATCAACCAGCCCCCCTTGAACAATGACATTCACTGGTATCAAATCAACCAGCCCCCCTTGAACAATTACATTCATTGGTATGAAATCAACCAGCCCCCCTTGAACAATTACATTCATTGGTATCATCATCATCATCATCATCATCATCACCATCATCATCATCATCATCGTCACTTATGGGACCGGATAACCCCACATGCCAACTTCTTCCAAAAGCAAAAAACAACCAAGAAGATGGGAGGGGAAAGGCAGCAAAGGTAAAGGAGATGGTGGAAGACAGATTGTGTGAAAGAGCTGTGTGTGACAAAGTTGTATGTGACAAAGTTGTGTGTGACATCATCATCATCATCATCATCATCATCATCATCATCATCATCATCATCATCATCACCATCACCATCACCATCACCATCATCACGATCATCCGTCATCATCAAAGTCGTCACCATCATCATCATCATCATCATCATCATCATCATCATCACCATCATCACCGTCATCATGATCATCATCATCATCACCATCATCATCATCACCATCATCATGATCGTCCATCGTCATCATCATCGTCATCACCATCATCATCATCACCATCATCACCGTCCTCATGATCATCATCATCAT